GGAAGGAAGGAAGGAAGGAAGGAAGGAAGGAAGGAAGGAAGGAAGGAAGGAAGGAAGGAAGGAAGGAAGGACAGAAGGCAGGTGCTTAATATATGGAGAATATTGGGACAAAGTTCTGTTTCTAAAGAATTTGATGCTTAAATCCTTCTTATTTGCAGTGTTTCTGAAATAGTCCTAGTATTAGAAGATAAACTAAGTAGGTGTTGAATTCAAAAAATTAAAACTAATTAAACTACAGAACATTGGACAAAAATAACCATTACTTAAATAAGATTCTTTGACACCTTTGGTAATTACTTAGCTGCTTCTGTGTCAATTCATAGTTAAGGCCTTAATGTAAGAACTAGCAGCTTTCATATTTTGTAGGTTAAGTATATAACTGACATTAAGGAAAACTAAAGTAAAAACCTACCTTTTCCTAATCTAATGAAGGAATTGAGTGAATGAATGTAGTTATTTGGGAGAAGGGCAATGAAGGCAGAGGGAATAAAAAGTTCAAAGGCCCTAAGACGTAATGTTTGTATCAAAATCTCAAAAACTCATTTGAATATTATAAAAATAAAAAAGCACACCTCAAGGAAAATAAAAATTATAAAATAAGTATTTAATAAATCAAACATAAAACTTGTACTTCACTTTCAGTTAAGGAAGTACACATTTCAGAAAAAAAAGACAATCCAATTGTCAAAAGATTAGAAAAGAGATTATTGCTGTCAAGGTGGTTGAAATTAGCATTATCATTGGCTATTGGTGGAAGTCTTTTAAGTATATCTTTCTAGAAAACAACTTGATAATATGTATGAAAATACTAAAAAAACAAACAAAAAATGCCAACTAATTTTGTCTTTCCTTTGTCTTTTCTCTTTCCAAGATGAAAAAAAAAAAAGATCTGGTTAATCACTCTAGAAATCATGACCTAATTTTACGGTTGCCTTTTATCTGTGTCTTGTTTGAAATGTCCTGTCCAGGATGAACAAATCTATTTCTAGAGATGGAAGAATGTGATAATTCAGTCTTTACATTTTGAGGAAAGATAAAAAAAATAGCTTTCAGATGGCATAGATGCAAAAAGGAAGAAATAAGATGTTTGAGATCTGTCTTTAGTGTAATTTAAAAGAGTAAAAAACATAGGCCTAGCTTTACCAATGGTCTCTATCAAAGTTACGGAAGGAGGCAGAACAAAACAGGTATGTTTTCGTATATTTGCCCCCTCCCAAAAAATAACACCAAACACACAAAACACTCTTTGCCCTTTTGGTAAGGAGAGATAGTATTCAGAGATATATACTGTGAATATTCCTGCTACTATTTGAATTTAGGTCAGAGATACGTTTGAAAATACCAAATTAAGGGAAGGCATGATTTGTGCTGTTGCATCTTGAAGGAAAAATCCTTTTGTTTGTTAGCATACAAATGTAAAAATCTAAACCAACTGCTATGCCTGGTTTAGTTATACATGAGAATGAATAGAAGGGTAAGCTACCTAAACACTTCTCCATAGCAGTCAAAGTGGGATTGTGCTGGGCAGTGAGACAGACGTGAGCAAAGCAAGGACGATGGGCCAGGTACAGAAGGTCACCACAGTGGAAAGTCCTGGGTGCCTAGCAAAGGACAATTGTAGGGTGGGACCTTGCCCCCAAGGTCACCTTTCCTACCTTAGCATATCCCTGGTCCTGCACTTGGGACCCCCTGATGTTTCCTCCCTAGAGATAACATCTAGGCCTCAGTTGTATTTCAGCTCCAAGCCCAGAAAAGCAACAAAACCAGTCAAGGCTGACCTCAGGACCAGCTGCATTGAATAATGATCCCCAGGGACCTACCCTAAAATTTCCACCCTTAAAGCCTTTAGGGCATTTTGCTTAGCATAATACTCTCCAGGTCCCTCCATGCTATCTCAAAGGGTAAGAGATACTTTTTTTTTTTTTAACAGCTGCATAGTTTTCCATGGTGTAAATGTCCCATGGCTTTTTTTATCCACTCATCTACTGATGGGCACTTGGGTTGTTTCCAGATCTTAGCTATTGTAAACTGTGCTGCTATGAACATAGGGGTGCATATACTCTTTCTGATTGGTGTTTCAGGTTTCTTAGGATATATCCCCAGAAGTGGGATCACTGGGTCAAATGGCAGAGAGTATTATGCTAAGCGAAATAAGCCAGTCAGAGAAAGACAAGTATCACATCATCTCACTCATGTGGGATCTAAAGAATAAAATAAACCAATGAACAAAATAGATCCAGAGACATAGAAGCATGGAACAGACTGACAAATCTCAGAGGGAAGGTGGGGGTGGGTTGNGTGGTGTGGTGGAGGACGGGGTGGGGGTGGGGTACTGGGTTGAAGGGGTCAATGGAGAAAAAAAGGGGACATCTGTAATACTTTAAACAATAAAGATAAATTTAAAAAAAACAAAAACAACCCTTAGAACAGAGGACCCAGCTTGCTCTCCCTCCTGGACATGCCCTCACCTTTTTCTTCTGCCGTCCATTCCCCTTCCCCACAAGTGCCTTATGATTACCTTCCTCACTTCCAGGCTCCAAGGGCCCTTCTTATACCTCTATAACTTGTTTCTTAAGCCCATTTCTTCTTTGAATTCCTTCTTCCACCTCTGCGGATTATAAATAAATGCTCCCTTTTAGTTTGAGTCTTGGCTCTGAATTCTTTCCTAGCCACTCAAGTACCAAGATTGCTGAACCCAGGTCTGGTCTGACCCCACCAGTCTTAACACCCAGTGCTGTTCCGCCACCTCCAACATGATGAAAGTTAAAATAGATAAATGCTTCCTAAAATTCTGTTTCACCTTTTTACTCATGGGCAGGGCTGTGGGCTTGATCAACTAGCTAATATGCGAAGGAGAGAGCTGATATTAGTTGTACAGCCTGAGGGAGACGGTGTATATATCTTGGGTTAAAACATTTAGTTTATTATCTAGCAATCTTGCTATTTGCCTTATCTAGCAACTGTTTGTTACTCTACTTTTTAAAAAACTTACATCATTTACCATTGTTTCCCTTTTGGTAGGTAACTTCCTTGAATTTTCACAAGAAACAATTAGAATTTTAGAATATGTATTGTAATCTCTAAATTGAGATATACATAAATGTAATTATTAATTCTACTAAGTCCAATTTTAATTTTATTTTTATTTATATGTGATTCCATCTGATACACAGAGGAAAGTGATTGAAGGAGAACTTGGATGGCAACTGCATGATTGAAACTGTCCAAAGTCAAGTGTCTCTTCTTTCAACTAAAGTTAGCGTATCCAGGTAAGAATAAGTGATAGTTTATTTATATACTATTGAAGAAAAGATTTGAAACTGCAAAAAATGTTTTTATTTTGTATCAAACATTTAAAAAGAAAATGGTAAAATACATAAAAGCAAAAGAAAATTAAAATCACTATTGAGCCTGTTTTCTAAAAATAACTTGTATAATTTTGTTCTCTATCATTTGATTTTTTGTTCTGTTCTTTTTCCCTTTACATGAAGTTGAGATAATATTATATGTATTCTCTGTTGAATTTCTTTATTATTTTTGTAACAAATCTATTTAGTCCTACTTGGTAGTGTTAGTGTTTCATAGTTCCCCTTGTATGTGTTAATATGAACAAATGATTTTTAAATATTTTAGATGTGTTTATTATTCAGAGACTATGCTTATAGATAGATATATACATCACTCTTTTTGCATTAGTAGTTACTAAAGTTAGCATCACTGTTTCAATGGTTATAATATTTTAAAGGCTTTTTTATTCTTATTGTTGACCCATTGACTTAAATATTTTTTATTCAAAGAATTTTCCTAACAAAATCTAGTTGGTGTAGAAGGAAAAATTCAAAATTAAGATTCTAAATTTTGGTTGCAAGCAGTAGCATCCTCCACTCACATATATTCAGCCATTATATCCCTTACATAACTAAGCCTAGAAGAAATGTGAATATTATATTTGCATAATCTTTCCACATTGTCTAAAACATATCATTTATAAATGATGGCAAGTATACATTTATTCAGCTAATATTTATTAAACTTATTATTACAGTAAGCCTAAGCACCTTGATTATTTGAATGAGGTGGTGGTGATGGCAGACATTAAGGGCAGGAAGGTACAGGAACAGTTTCCTGGGTCTTCTAATTTTCGATAAAACATGGCAACATAGAAAACATGTTTCAGTTCCTTAGGTACAGGTAGGATGTACTAAGCGCCAAGAAGGAAGTAAAAGGGAAGGGCAATTGCTGGTAATGCTTTCTGAATGGGACTTGAAGGATGCTTCACAAATGAGACACCGATTTTAGTTGCATGTAAGAAGTACAAAGTCAAGACAGTGTGACAGAAAGAGAAAGGTTTAGTTTTGAGACTAAATGAAGTTTAGATTCAAATGTGACTTTAACATAGTTTTAAGCTTTTAGAAATATTAAAAGATACATCCTCATGGACATAACAGTATATTGGGCAGAAAGTGTGATTAAGATGATGCAGCCATTCAAGATAGTGGGAGAATAAACATGACGAAATGGGACGCAATGTTAAGAAAGCAGCAGGAAGGAGGTACAAGTACAATTTCTTCTGCCCCCTTCTGCTTTAATAGGTGAGACTAATAGTGCTCTTGCCTGAAGAGAGTCCCTGGGGAAACACCTCAGTGGAGAGCAAATTCAAATCCTATTCAAGGGATGTATCATGCCCTATCTGCATTTAAATACAAAAGAAAATAGCCTTTAAGCCATTGTAGAAATTAAAGAAACTATTTTGCTTTCCTTCACCTTAGGTTGTATATTTAAAATTTATATTCAGTATATCTATATAAGTAAATGATACTTCTGTTCTAATAATAAGTGATATTCAAATTAATCTTTACTTGTGTAATAATAATATTAGTTTTCATTTAATGAAGAGATTTAAAGGAAAAATGTTCTATATATTTATGTAATATGTAATTGTAATGAATAGTTCCTTTATAGATTAATTGCTATTTGAACGAAATAGTGAAACCTGGCAAAGTAATGTTCATCACATATGTTGGTCTCTGTGTTGCAAAGTGGTGAACTCTGGGTCTTCCAGTGTAAACTAATTAGTTATGCTCTGAGGGTATCATTTGCTATACTAAAGCCTTCACTTATTTAGAAATAACATCTTTATTAAATGGTTTAATGTGCTTTAGAGCAGGATTTACGTTGAAAACAAAGATAAAATTTCTAATAGAAATGTTTTTAAAAAGGAAATGTTTTGGAGAATAGGATTTACCTTAGTACGTGCAACGCACAGGGAAAAGGGAGTGGCTGTCTCAGAGGAGTAAAGTGGCAAATCATGAATTTTACATTTCATAGCTCATCAGTAATGGCCTGATCATTGAAACTGAAAGCGTTTCGATCACTGGGCCGTGCTGCGCCTTCCTGCCGTTCCTCCCGCATTGGCAAAGGGAGCGTGCGTGGCGAGTTTGAGTTATGTGCCCTGTGCGGGAACCAGGGCACTCGATGAACAATTCTCTCCAGACTGCTCGCTCGGAGAGGGCGGGCTCCCCCAAGGAACTTCAGAGTTTGGGGAACAGGATGCGGAGGGAATGTGGGACAAGTGAAAACAATGTATGTTTGATAAGACCCTTCTTCCAAGCTGCCTTTCAAAAGCCCTAAATCTCTAAATGCACTTTATCTCATAATAAGGATTTTGCCAGTAAAATTAACATAGATTAAATAATAATGTTGCTTAGGGTTTGATAAATATCTACTATTATGAAAAATGCTTTTGATCTTTTAGACAGGTTTTTTAACTACCGGTCACGTGCCAGTTGATGTCCTTAGCACTGAATATAAAATTGTGAACAGCAGAGTGAGTTCTTGCTTTGTTTGGAACTTATAGTCTAGTGAGAACTGAAATACAACAATTAATATACTACAATGAGTCTAGGGTAGGACGTGTATTAGTTTCCTAGGGTTACTCTAAGAAAGAACCACAAACTGGGCGGCTTAAAACAACAAAAATTCTGGAGGCTGGAAGTCTCAAATCAAGGTGTCAGCAGGGTCACGCTTCCTCCAGCGTCTTTAGGGGAGACCCTTCTTTGTTTCTTCCAGCTTCTGATAGCTCCCTGTTCCTTGACTTGTGCAGCCCGCCTCCAATCTTCGGCTCCATTTGCCCGTGGCTTTCTTCCCTGTGAGTCTTTGGGTGTGTCCCCTCCTCTTATAAATATATCAGTCATTGGACATGGGGTCCCTCGTAATTCCACAGTTTTATCTCAAGATCCTGAACTAATTACATCTGTAAAAACCCCATTTCCAAATGAGGTCACATTCTGAAGTTCTGAGTGAACGTGGATTTTGGGGAGATTCTCTTTAGCCCACTCTAGGAGGGTACAGTACTGTTGGTGTCCCCAGCAGGGACCCTGGGCCTATTCCTGGGGCACGTTAGAGGAGGCTACCTAAAGGAAATGATGTCTAAACGAAGGGTGAACGTTCAGTCAGGAGGAACCGAATATATTGTGGACCCTCCCAGCATCTGAGGAAACAGCTCGTTGGAAGAACTGGAAGTAGTTCAGTGCAGCTGGAGTCCAGAGTGGGCAAGGCTGGGTAAGGGCGGAGAGGAGAGGCATGGTGAAGAGGGTAGGGCAGCTGGCACGGAGGCTAAGGGACCTGGCATTACCCTGAATGTAGTGTGGTGCCGCTGGAGGGGTTAAGCAGCTGAGCAGCCAAATAGGATTTGTGTTTAACAAACCCCACGCTGGGTGCAGTGTGGGAACAAGGAATGATGGAGCGATGCTGAGAAAGAAAGCTGGCTGCGAGACTCCGCGGCACTCCAGGGTCGAAGTAATGGAGGCTTGGAGGAGGAGATGCTGGTGGGGTGAAGAAAAATAAATGCAATAATGGTATGTTGAAAGAGTGGAATTGATTCTGTGTGAATGGGTGACAAAGGGTGAAAGGAGAGGAATCAAGTATAATGGCCCAGGTTATTAGCTTCCAAGACTGTTGATGGCTCTAGGTGCTGAGATTGGAAGTGTGTGTGTGTGTGTGTGTGTGTGTGTGTGTGTGTGAGAGAGAGAGAGAGAGAGAGAGAGAGAGAGAGAGAGC